GCGGGATCGACCAGGGTGGGTCGCGCGACGCAGCGCAAAGATCGAGAGTTTGCGGGAGTCATCAGAGGCTTTACCGTATTCGGACAGTTTTCCGTTACGCCCCTACGGCAGCTCCTGGTCGCCATGTGGTTGACTCCGTAACAGCCGGTAATCCCGCCTCTGCTCTCGCTCTCCGCCGTCGTCGCTGCCGAGGCCGCTTTACTATGACGGCTAGTTGCATAGACGGTGGGTGAGGTGAGCTGAGGTGGTGAGCCACTGCTGCAGCCACCTTTTCGCCGTGGCCGGGTAAACTGCAAAACCAGAGGCGAGCTTTTGAAGAGAAGGGTTTGGAGCAGTGCTGCATTGACCAACCACGAGACACTGTGGCTTGCAGCTCTTGAGGGGGGGAACTGCCGTCTCAAGATTGTGTGGTGTATATGTTGATGGATAGTATAACCTAAGGTATAGGCGCACAGATGGCTTCACCTGCAGCACCTGCCGAGATTAATAATTCGCCGGGAAAAGGCAAAAGCAGACGACCCTGAGTCGAGATGTTTACCTGCAAGAGGACAAGAAAGAAAGAAAGAGCAGACGGCGAGGGAAGGCCGAGGAAGGGTGCTAGAAGAGGGGTAATAGAGTTCGTGCCTCTAGCTGGTGCGCCATCGCGAGAAGGCCGCTTTGTTGACATGCGGAAAGACGAGGGGTTTTGGGGGGCTGATTGGAAATCGGAGAATGCCATGCGCGGCACATCTGGGATGGGAAACGAGAAAAAGTCACGATGCGAGACAGAATCGCATCCCGTGGTCTTTTGACGGATAGTGCGGGCTGGCAGGGGGCTTTGCCTTGCCTTCCAATCGAATGACTTGTTCGCTGGATGTCACACAAAGTATGTTGGTCGTTTGTGTCTGCTGTCTCGAAGGCACTGCTGGGCGGAGGTTTGTGTCTGTTCAATCTGTTGTCTGCCTGGACAACCATGGTGGTCTAGACGTTCACGTTGAGTTCTTGGCTTGATAGAGTTCCCATTTTTAGGGTTTTGGAAATTTCGAAGTTGATGGGTGCGCCGCGGCGCGCGAGCGCGAAGCGCCCTTCTCCCCGCGCCCCCGAACCCGAGTCGAGTCCAATCTCGGCGGAATCCTACCGCCGGCCGTGTCTCTGGGCGCCGCCGCCGTTCCTTCTCACGATGGATCAGAAATTGCCATGCAGTCTCAGGCTGAGAACTCTCGCGGGGTCGTCGCCAAACTCTCTGCATCGAAATGAAATGTTTCTCTTACTCCCTCACGCAGATTAATCCCTCTCAGCCCTGTGCCGCGCCTCCCCCAGCATTGGCAATGGCATGGCATGATATGGGGGGAAAATAGCCACGGAAACAAAACGACGAGAGGAGAAAATAGCTCTGAGGCAAACGCAGATTGATGAAGAGTTGGCCCATGCTCTCGTCGTCTTCTCCATCCCCATTGACACTTCACGCAGCTGCGGTCCTGCCCTATCTTTGGTGTTGGTCTCTGCTTCCATCATTGGGGGCCACGGCTCTCTCGTTGGCCCGTCGGTCCCCAGTTCGAATATACAAGAGACAGCACCGCCTGTACGCCAAACAAATTCCCCGACCCCGGGTCCCTCTCGCACGCGCAGCGACAGCGATGGTGCCGTCGGTTCGCCGAGAGGCAGACCCTCCCCTCCCCGGAAGGCCGGGATATGGAGTCGGTGGAAAGCTCTAGGACCCCGAATCGAACACTCTTCTCATCCTTCAACATAGCCTTCGGGATGAGGGGGGGGGGGCCTCGTTGATTGGGGAAAGGATGGCGGCAGTAAGGAATAGAGGCACAATGCGTGGCGCAACCCTTATTTCTTTCCGCTGCGGTTGGTGGTGCTCGTCCGCAGCAGCTCTTGTCAAACCATGTCCCGGAAGGATAGTCCCAGCTGATATCAACCACGGGGACAGGTATCAAATCTCGATGGCCCCCCTCCAATGCCTTTCCGTCTTTCCAATGGAGGCCGACGTCTCCTTTGACCGGTCAACCCAGGACCCTTACAGCGGTGGTTTACAGCAACATGCAACTCCCTCCCAGAGTCGCATGGTTCGGGCCCTCCGTCCGTCCCAAGGCCACTCAGAGTTTGAGGACGTTCCCGTCCTGTGGATGCGCAATAGTGTCCACGCACGGGGTTTCGAAAAAGGCCAACGTTTTGGGCGTGGTGCGTGCGTGGACTCTCACTCTGCAATGCAGCCTGCGCGCGTTTTTTCTCCATATCCCGTACCCCATTGTAATTTACCCTCCGTCAGAAAGTTTCCCATCTTTCTGAGGTTGATATGCCGTATTATCCACGACGGTCCCCAGTAGTAATGGGCACATCAATCCCAGACGTCCATGTCGGCGCGGCCCCAATTCTGTCAGTCGCAGGTTATTCTGATCAAAGGATTGCGAACGTCTCCAGAGGTCTGAGGGGAGTCGAGACGGTAGTCCACAAGGGGGGATCCGTCGGCGATCCGGGGTGCTCCCCGTCAGGGGACTTGGCTTCCTCCTCCCACCATCTTGTGCCTCATTGCGACTTCTAAGCTCTCTTCTAAGCGTGATGGTGTGCGTACGCATGTCTTTCTGCAGACTGTGACCATTCATATCGCGTGTTTGGTGGCGAGTCGTTGGTGACTTGGATTTCACCAGATTCCCATTCCGACCCCAGGCAGCCGTGGAATTGGCCAAGGGCCTGCATATTGGCATACACGGTCAACGTGAAACCTTCAACCTCGTGCTCTATTTTCAACATGCCTCGAGTGAAGAGGCTCGTATGTACCGTATGCCGTTCTATCCTATCCCCTCCCTTGCTTGGTCAAAGGTAAAGCGAAAAAGCAATCCAACCCAAAGAAACCCACTTCTCCCCGCGCGGCCTCCCTGTGAGACGCCAACATTCCACGTAAGACGGCCGGCGTCGACATCGCTTCGCGGCCGTGTGGCTCCCCTCCCCGTCTTGATGAATGAGAAGCCGAAAGATGGAGGGAACCAGCTGGTTAACCCAGCGCCACAGGTTCCTCTTGCTAGCTCCGCCGTTTTGTGTCTGTATTGTACGCTATGCTTGAAGCTCCATCAAATCCCCTCTCTTGAGGCTTCGCCTCGTCTCGCCTCGGTCCCCCAGAAGTCCTGTAATCGAGATGCGCAATCAAGCCACTGTCTACCAGCGTCTCGGACTGATGAGCTGTGTGCATGTGTCTTGGGTTGACCCCCTGGGCATCCTGGCATCGGCGATGGATTCAGCCTCCATGGATGTGATCAAGCGTTGCGACGCAAATATGGGAATGGACATCAGAAATAGGTCTAGAAGTCTGATTGATCATATTATCGTCCGTTTGGACCCTGAATCCGCCCATGTATTAAAACTCCCCGAAGCCCCGTCCCCCATCACCCCATCGTCCATCTGCCGTGACACCCCGTTCTAGGAAACGCATCCTTTGTTGAGCCCGTCGAAACATTTCTTTTCTTCTTCTTCGCCGTCCGCGACTGGCTCGTTTGCTTGAAATAAGCTCCCCACTGGCTGGAACGTAAACACACCGAGTGTCCGCTTGAAGACCAACCTCAGCAAGGGACCGGACCTCCAGAAAGAACCTAACCCATCACACCCGTCCTCGAAGGATACACGCTTGCGCAGTGCGGAAGCGAGCAGGCCTCAGAAAACGAGCACACACATAAGCGAAAGTACGAAGAGCAGGCCTCAAAAAGCTATCGAAACCCAAAGAGCCGGCCAAATTACCTTGGGATTGAGCACCGTATCAACCTGCCATCCGCAGCGCTGCCCAAGGCTAGTCCGACCAAGAAGCTCTTGAGTCGAAATCGTCCCGACCAACCAACATCAACCTCCTCTTCCCGTCGTCGTCCTCTTGCTTCGACACTGCCGTCACAACTGTGCTGAAGCCAAGCTGCACACGCCCCCCCTATCCAGCTGAACTTGTATTCGCGCCCCGGTAGAGCAAATTCACTTATCGTACGAGGCCTCCTCCCCCTTTTGTGCATGCGCGCACACCCCTTCATTTTGTGCATATGCAGCGGCATGCATATACCGTAATAAATGCAGCATGGACTAACGCGAGGCCCCCAGGAACCTTAACCCACGTCAACTTTACGGTGCGCACCCCTCCGTTACCACACCACCGCCGTCTCCACCCTCGGCGTCGACCGTCTCGCCCATCCCCGACCGTCCGTCTGCTCGTCGACCGTCGTCGTCCTCCCCACCCACACCATCTCGCTACGGTAGAGAGCAGAACACCGTCTGCCTCTGCACAAACTCGCTCACGCCCTCTGCATCTGCACCGCACACCCCTCTCCACGCCCCTTCCCTCGGCTTGGCTGGGCTTGGCTTCTGCCCTCTGCGCAGTCTTGTGCCTGACGTTGCACACTCCCCCGGTTCCCTGTCCTGTCTTCTGACTGAGGCTGGGCTGGACAGCAGAGACACCTACGCACCCTTGTCAAGCTGGGCGTCTGCACCATCTCCCCCCCAAGCACGGGCTTGCACAAAAAACACTCTCTCTCTCTGGAAGACTCGGCAACAGACAGACAGCGGTCGGTCAGTTACCTCCGTCTCCGAACAGACAGCAGTCGGTCAGTTACCTCCGTCTCCGAACAGACAGAAGAGTCTCCGCGGTTCTTGCACAATTTTGACGCTTGCCCTTCATCCATCTGGTCTTCTGTCGATCCCACACACCCCGAGGGAGAGCAACTCGCACGCCCTCTGACAGACCAGACACCTCACCCTGGTCCTCATTTTCACTCCTTTTTTCTTCTTAAGCTACCCTCCCCCCTGCCTTCCCACCCCCCTCTTGGGTTGTGCACCACACTTCTTCTTATCCTCCCAGGCTACTCTACCTATATATCATCAAGCCTTCCCACAACCACTTATACCGGCCTCACTTCCCACCCAACTTTGGACTTTGACACCAAGCCAACTCCAACATACAACTTCACCAACGGTACACTGAACGTGCCAACCACCAAGGACATCTACCACAACACTTACCAACAAACACAAACAACACAAATATGCCTTCCAGCTCAAGACCTGCCAAGATCCACTACAGCTCCTCGTCCTCCTCCGACTCCGACCTCTCTTCCGCGTCCTCGTCTTACAGACAAAGCATGGACTCCGTCGCCAGACCGATTGCCTCCGTCGAGGTCCTCCGCTGCCTGCGCTGCGCGAGGTCCGTCGAGGCCACCTCCACCGACGACTCCAGCTCAACCGGCATGGTCCGCATCGCACACAACCTCTACTACTGCGAACGTTGTGCCAAGATGGTCGGTTACAAATGAGTGAAGCCGCCATGGCTGGGTGAACGGGTGACGGAACGACAACGACGAATTTCAACAAACAACACATCAACAACACCAACCACCGACGATGGCCTAGGCCTCAACTGCCCCAGACGCAAGACGGGCCAGACCATCACACGCACCACCACCGACCAGGGACGCCATGCGAAGGCTGTCTCGACGACGATCGGTGGTCACGACTCGGCTCGGGTATGACTTCAGTCTTACTCAGCTTGACTCTGCAACAGCCCTCTCCTCTACCTCAGAAAAGGGAGCAACAGAGCGAGACTTACTCCGGGACCCCAGGATCAGCAGTCGGCCGGCGATCCCAGGCCGCATTTGAGTTTGCACTAAGGCTCCGCGGGATGCCCGTCCTCTGAGGGCCGCCGATCACCTGCACGGCGGCACGTTGCGGCACTCGGGGCTTGCGTCAGGGTCCTATCATCCAGCCGACTCATCAATCATTCGATTCTTCCGCATTCAGGGCGGGCAATTGGCAACGGCTAGAGAAGCACAAGAGAAAAAGAAGATGCATTCCAATACAACCAGTCAGGTGGGGTCTTTGACCCGCTTGTCTGTGTTCGCCTTTGGATTCTTCTCGACCTCGCTTCGGATACCGTCACAGGGTCAACCCGTCCACGATGAAACAAACCCACCACGGGCCCCACGAACACGAACCCCAAGACAGGCACAGCACTTTGCGCAGTCAAGCAGCAGCCAGCAAACACCTGCCACGGCAATTGAATTGCATCACATTGCCTACCAACCAACAACAGGTGTCAACAACGGCAAGTCAACAACCAACCAACAGCACAATGCAGTCATGTGCCTGGCGGTTCTTTTGTCATCTGTGTCCGCCCTCTGCCCCGGGCATCTCCAGATGAACAAGACCCACTTTCGACGCCGACTCGGCGCCGACAGGACTCCCGGTGGGACACTTGGCTCTCTCTCCCACTACCCGTGGACGACAGCCAATCAAGCCGCCCAGCAGACGACGCTGTCATGGCCTGACATGATCTGGCTCCACTGCAGATGACTCTCGCCTTTCAATCTCGCATGAGATGTTTGGCTGAGAAGACATCTCGTCGCCCGTCGGGCGGTTGGCTCACCTGCCCAACCGTGGCTGAGCTTGGGTTTGCATCCTGGCCAAACGCCCAAACGCCCTATGGAATATTTTTTCTCTTCTCTTCATCGGCAGAGCCAGCTTCACTTCTACTTCTTCTCTGCCCAATGGGTTAGTCATCCCCGGTCCGGGATCTCCCATTGGGCACGGCGGGGATCCACCAGATCTCCTTTTCTCGGCACCTCATTGGCCGCACCCGGTCTCCGCACACAAGGGATCGCCAGCCATTGGGCAAAACCCCCAAGCACCAACCCATCCGTGCCCAGGGCCCAGGCAGCAGTCTCAGCGCAGCTGGGCATTCCATTCCGAACCAACGCACGCACTGCGCCTGCCTCGGCTGCTGTCCACAATCAGTCAGAAACGGGGGGACCCGACCTCGTCTTTCATCCCAAGATACGAGCCTCGCCTTTTCCCTCGCCAACGACAGGCATTGGCATTCAGTCCATTTGCCGACTTTCGCGCGGTACGAGATTGAATTCTCTGTTCCCCAGGGGTCCCTTCATTCCACACTCGCTACAACGAAAAGGCGTTGGCACCATCATGCTAGCGCCTTATGCGACGGGAGCAAGACATCATCGTGCATCATGTCTTTCACCCCCAAGGGATCCCCCTCCTTCAGGTTCCCCTGATTCCCCTCACTGCTGCAACAGTCGAGGGATTGGAGGGGGGGGAGCCACAAACGCACATGTCGACGATGCGGACGTCATTGGGGAATCATAGGGGTCCTGTTCCCGCCCGACAACGTCTCTAGCGGCACACGCAGGAGTCCCATTGGGCGACCGCCAGAAGCCGCTGACGTCGACGCGCATGAGCGCTATTTTTTTCTCACCACTGTTTTGACAACAACCAATATTCCTGTACCTTTTTTTTTGCTGCAGTTTTTCCACGGCGGGGCACAAGGGAATGGGGGAGCGGTATGGGAATGGCATCATGAGCGCTTACGGGGCGGACGGGGCACAATCCTCGTGTCCTCTTTTGGGTTTTATTGGCTTGTGTCTTACTCCCGCGCAAAAAAGTTCTGCAACTGGCGTTACAAACGGACGAAGATATCGAGACGGATCACTGTATCACAATACCCTCTGGGCAGCATTCAAAAAGCGGTGGAGCATTGGGAATTCAGGAATTGCATTGCAGATACCAGTCGAGACACTGTAGTGATAATGCGACTATGAACAAGAAACCAAATGAGGCAATTCAGTCAAACTCGTCTCTATCCTTTGTGAACACGCATCTCCTGCCTTATCCGGGCGCACGACAAACCCTACTCTCTCTCTCGCACCTGGCAATAAAACGAACTGACTCTTGGCCCTTCCGTGCTTTCCGCCTTTGCACCGGAAACCTTCCGAGCAAAAAGGGCCCTGAGCGCGCTACCTATCTCTCGCGGCGCTACTTTGCAATCTCCCGCGATTAACCTCGCGATTTGGCCATCTTGGCGTGGGGCCGTGATTACTGATTAGACGTTATCCGTATTCCTCATTCAGCCTTCCATGGGTTTTGGTTTTATCGATTTCTCCGAGGGGCCTTTTTGGGTGAGTTAGTAGACAGGGCGGAGAACTTAGACGAGGGCGCCATAGCGAGCCGCCCAAGGTTACGCCCGCGCCGGTGAATTGCCAACGTTCCTAGACGAGCTGAAACCCCGTGACTGCGCTCGAGGGCGCTTGCATTTTGCAAGAATGGTCCGCGGTAAGTGTGTTTGGCCCGAGGGGTATTTCTTGGGACACCTTGATGGGGTTGCGAGTATTACTGGAAGAGAACGTTCGGGCGTGCGACCTCCGCGAGGTCTGAATTGACATCTTGGCGTGTCCTGTTACGTGCTGCGATGATGATGATGTTTTCTTTCGCATGAAGAGGAGGCGCTGTGGGTGCATTGCGCATCGCATCCTGTGCTGTCACGTTGCGAGAGAACACAACCGTACAAGAGAAACGAAAGCCAAGTCTCGGTTGCGAGATCTATTGTTTCTAATTATTTCTCCTCGCATGCAGATGTTACATTCGACAGCTGTAGAAAAATGCTGCAAAACATACATCCAAGATGCGAGAGAATCTTGATTTTGGGTGAGGTGTGGTCCTGTACACTCCCCCCCCCCCCTCAGCAAACGGTTGGTTGGCTGCTTTGGTGTTTTGGCGGTGGCTGTGGCCGTTGCATGCAGCAAACCCGCCAACTGACGGCAAGCAACACCACCCTTCCACGCCTTCTTTCATCATCCGTGCAGGAAGGCAAGACGGGTATGTCAACGTCAAGCAGAGACCGGATGGCAGCCGACGACAGACAGGCACAGCCGCAACACCATGACCACCACCACCGCCCCAGAAAAAGGCATTTACGGAACGGCAGCTGGATACTGATCGTCGGCCCTGCGGCCGTCGCACACTGGTGGGTTTAGCTTAGCCAGCTACCCGCAGAACAAGAGGTTCGTCTCGCGCATGTCCGGCCAGCGAGCGCAGTGATGATCTCCAAAGGGGGAAGCCACCTCAGCCCTGCCTCGCTTAACCGCGAAACCGCCGGGATGGCGGTCGCAAGAAAGACGTGTATCAGAAACCGCGCTGGCGCGGGTGTGTCTCTTTTGCGTGCTTTGGTTTGTCCGTGGAGTGGTTATGCGCCGGAACGTAGCGAGACCGGCGCGGCTGAAGGACCCCTTGGACGGCGTCGTGTCATGTCGGTATGCTTAATGGGCTGCTCGGGTGGCATGAACTGGGCGCTTGAGACATGGTCTGCCCAGAGAGAGAGAGAGAGAGGCTTTGGTCGTATTCTACGGAGGTCACATCGTGGGCGCGCATGTGGTCGATGCGTTCTTGTCAGCTGCTGCTTCGGATGGGATGCGTGCCGGAGAAGACTCCGGGCAGGCGGCTGCGTGTCGTCGCACGGCGTATTTCTCGCTGTCTGCGGTTGTTTGGGCCTCTGCATGGCGCCCTGCCCATATCAAGAGCGCCCATGTCGGTTATGATATGGGAAGCACAGTCTACAATAGTACCAAGCAGGAGGGCGTACTGAGATTTGTCTGGTCGCAGTGTTCGTGGGGAAAACCGCGTGAAAGGGTTCCATCCATGCCACCGTTGTGTAGCTACCACGCGGCGCGACGAGTCGGGACATCAGCTCGGAGGGAGCCAGATGGGAATTTCATGGGATTGCGACGGCTGATTAGGGACGCCATGATGCAGCGTCGCGCGCCAAGTGGGAAAGATGAAAGGGATGAAGATGTGTGAATCGTGGGTTGAGACGGATGGGATGGCGGGGGCTGTCTTGTTTCAAGAGGTGAACATCACCATTATCCGCAGAGGCCGTCGCGTTGGATCATCGTGGGAGCGTCTGTGGGGTTGGTGTTGATGGCGGGGGAGGCTTTGCAGCTTGCAAGGCTGGCCATCACGACATCGACGGCGCCAGGGGGATCTACCTTACCCCGAACGCAGTCGAGCGCAGCAGCTGAAAATTGTGCAACAAATGTCACGGTAGGGGGACGGTTTTGGGATGACGGGGCGCGCTCGCGGCTGAACAGTTATTTCTAGGAGTATCCGTACCTCAGCCCACGAACGTTACGGAAGGGGCACGACAACAAAATGCACGGTTCAAGATGGTGAGCGTGCCGGTTTGGCGTAGAATACGACGCTCCCATTTTAGGGACAACGTTTTCTCTTTGACTCGCGGTTATGAATTTTGATTGATTACCCACTAGACAGCCTCTATCTTTTCTGGAGTACGGTTGTTACAGATTTATGGGCACACGATCTACGGTCCCTTAATGTGAGAGGTGAGGGTTCGCCGTGAGAGGGCAGGGCGGTTGCTAATTTTGGGGCTACATGTCTTTTCTGTTCCTTTTTCCTTGGTGAAGGACCTGGTTGATGCCGGTGATTCGGGGGACCGACCCAGCGCGCTGGAGCCTCACTTTTTCTTGGTGGCTATACTGAGCAATGATCTTCACTTGCTGCTCAGATTCGGGTGGGGAGGAGGGGGTCAACCTTGGAAATTTTGTGAAGAGAGCAGCTGGAGTCGTGATGGTGTCTTCTGATTGCTCAATTGAGATGTGCAAATCTTGAATTTTTTCGGCCCGGGGTCCTGGGTTGCCTCACTTGCTGCTATACGACTTGGTGTTGTTGC